AGGGGTGGTTTGTATGTGGTACGGGTATGACGTGCATACATACCGGTGCTAGGGGTGCCAGTATCACCACAGGTAGTTGTGATGCGAGTACTGCATTATGATATCCCCGCGTGGCAGCAGGCAGACGTTGCCGGACTCCGGAGTTTTCTCGGTTGTGTGTGAAACACAAATACCGTATGCAATAAGTTACTGGTACCGGTAAATTATGGACTCGGATTTCCTTAGGCTTTCCGGGGATATCGACCAGGTCTATTATTTACCCGTATGACGGATTTATGGTTCCTGGCGTGGCTCAAATTCCTTGTGCGGGTACCCATGATATCGGCTTCAACCACACGTGAGGGAATCTAGTACGATAGTTCTGTGTGGCGTGATGGGGTTCTGTGATTTCATCCCCGCTCCGAATTGCTCGATTCAAGTTTGCAGGGGGGGGGGGGGGAAGAAAAGAAGTTCCCACTTAGCAACCAGATAGAAGATGTATAAAGGGCCCATTGCTGGTGTCCGGGACTATGCTGCACTGCAGACTGGGAATTTCTTGTATATATATTATATACGGTATTTTGAAGCAGTGTCGTAACACGTAAAGCCACCGTGTTTCTAGAAGCTTTTTTTGTTTCTGAAAAAGTAGAGATCCAACGGTAGTCTTGTGCTTGGTTCGGGGATTTGCGTACAATAAAAGATATTCTGTGGCCAGGGGGGGAAGGATTATGCGTTTCCTCCCCCATCCGGCCTAAATTGTGGACAGAATCTAGTAGTGTGCCTACAAGTACAGTTGCCTAGAATCATAGGAATGCTTCTCACGCATTATCACTCGTGCATGTCGTAATTGCTGCCACCCCCCTGCACGTTATTGGAGGGGACTCTTGTCGTTGACCCTCCCTGACCCAATTCGTCCACGTTTACTCTTTCCTTTCCAGTGCCCATCGTCCGGTGGCTCTGTTTTGGGGGGATGGTCAACGAACTGCTCGGGTACTCGAGCACTTGCGCTGCAGGTCACAATTACCTAGCCAATGGATAACTCAGCGCCGAGGGACGGGGAAATCTGCGAACCCCGAGGCGGTAGCAATGCCTTATGGATGGGCGTATCGGTAGTGTCATAGCTTTCTTATATCGGGCATGGTGCGCAGAATTCCACTCGGGAAAGGGATGGCATCTCCTCTGCTCTGCGACCAGTGCTGGCGGACAGCACATACTCGAGAAAAATGGTATGATAGAGTGATTGGGCGCAGTCATTCCAACAAACTCCCTCACGAAACCTTGAGCAGAAATCCTTCCAAGAACTATCCCAGCACTCGAGCTGTCATATATGCGTGTGGAGATTGTCTCCAACTACGCAGGGAGCGCCCCCCTACAATTGCCCAACAAGTTACTGTACTCGAGTACAGTATATATTGAGAGCTCCCCACCCGTTGACGCCCCAGGCATACTGAACTGCGGGCACTCTAGATCTTATCTTACATCTTTTTATGCATAGTCTAATGCTGCTTTACCTCCCTCGGAATATCCCGCTAAAATATGTTAGCGCTCCTTGATCCCCCGACGGAACTCATTCTCCACATAGCAGATTACCTATCCCCACCCGCGGCCCTTTCCCTCCTGCTCACAAGCCGCACGTTCTACCACATCCTCGCGGATGCGCTTATAGACAGCGTCTCCAATGACCTAACATATGCCTCGAGAGCCATCTACCATGTCGCGGAGCGCGGGAACAAACGCACGATCCGGCGCCTGGTGAACGCGGGAATCCTGAAGGAAATTGACTTCACCCTGAACGCGGCGGTAGCGGACGAGAGTGTCTGGGTGGTCAGCACGCTCCTAGATGGTGGAGTTCCAGCCCACACGCAGGACGATTGGGGCGAGACACCACTCATCGTGGCGGCGATGTCCGGTCGTGTGGATATGGTGAGATTGCTAGCGCCGAGGGAGGACGTGGATGTTAATTCCACCGACTGGCGACGCACCACTGCTCTCGCCTACGCTGTGCGCGATATCAGCGATGGCGTGGAGATGGTTCGGGCGCTGCTTGGGCGGGCGGATACGGATGTGAACGTGCGTGACATAGACGGCCGCTCGGCGCTCCACCACGCCGTAGAATTTGGTGGGCGGGAGAGTGTAGCAATCTTGCTGGCACGACCGGAGGTGAAGGTGAATTTCGTGGATTATGTCAAGCATGGCATGACAGCGCTGCATCGCGCTGTGTTCATGGGCGACGAGAGCATTATTAGATTACTCCTCGATGACCCCCGCGTCGACGTGAACCTGGGGGACCGGATGCAGCACACGCCCCTACACCTGGCAGTGAAGCGTGGATGCGAAGCTGTGCTACGGATGTTGTTAGATTGTCCAAGAGTCGACGTCAATGCTCTCAATGCAGCTGGCTGCATACCATTAGCATTCGCCGTGAACGGGTCAGCAAAGGAGATCACGGGGATTTTAATCTCGGGCCCCCATGTGGACCTCAACCTCCCGGATCCCAAACTGCAAACCCCGCCTTGTATTGCCGCGAAACGAGCGAGGCATAGCACAGTGGAACTGCTCTTGGAGCGCGGGGACCTGGACGTCAATTTCCGCTGTCAGAATGGAATGACCCCGCTCGCGCATGCGGCGGATGAGCCCTTCAAGGAGCGCACCACACCAGGGCACTACGAGAGGGTCATCAACCTATTTGGCACCGACCGAAGGGTGAATGTCAACCCGGCAGACCACCGCTTGGAGACACCGCTGCACAGGGTTGTCCGTGCGCAGGAGCCCAACTCCGTCGTGGAGTTGCTCAGATTGCCCGACATCGCCGTCAGCGCCCGTGACCAGAGTGGCTCCACGCCGCTGGGCTTGGCAATTCGCGGGGAGGAGCGGGAGGAGCGGGAGGGTGCGGTTCCCATAGCGCAGGCGTCAAAGGCTTATCAGGGCATCAACGTTAGTGCGCAGAACGGTGGGGGAGATACGCCTCTGCCGGCATATGGGAATAATGGTGGAGATTCGATAAATGGGAAGGGGCCAGAGCCTGAGGATTCTGCGCTCGGCGCTCGGCATCTCCCCACGGGTAGTCCTGAGATGAAGGGGAGTTCTAGCAGTGGTATGGAGAAGAAGGTAAAGGGGATAGGTGAGAAGAGGAAAAGGAGGAAAATCCTCTTTGGCCGGCTGAGGTCTTTGGGCCGTCGCATAGAAGGTGTTTTCACGAAGTATACGAAGCACCTCTCATCTCTGGTCCGTGTCTTTGGGGATTGAACGGGGTCCGGGGTTAGATTTGGCTGGTCGGGAACCAGCGAGCGAGCAGATATAGTAAAGCTGTTTTACAGGAGATGATGGGTTCATGTTGCTATTGTATCAAGGAAATTTCCATAGTATGAATTTATGATATATATCACCAATACCTCACTCTTGCCAACCGAATCAATTCGGGTGGGGCCCGCGGGCATTTCTGTTACCCCTCCAATCGATTTAGTACCGGAATAAGAATAAGAATAATGATATTATGAAGAAGGAAAAGAAGGAGAATACGGTTGGAACGATACCCCCATCCCCCCCACTCCATACTGGGCCCAACCCATACGTATACTAACCTAACCGAATACAATCATCAAATCCACTCAACCATGCATACATACACCTGGCGGGAACTGGGAACGGCAGGTTTGATATCTGGCACTCCCGGATGAGGACATGGATGGCTCCTACCACCCCCAAGAAGTAAATATTAGCCTCCTGTACGGTTCAGCATTTGGGAGCAGCCCACACAGCGACTACCCAATAAAAGAGAGACTGGACATAACCAAGCGACAGCTCCAATTGGCTAGAATCCCTACACTGCGATTACTGATTCAGGCATGAGGACATTTGGTACTGCAGGAGGTATACGGTAACACGCGCACAAAAATGTCTGCAGATGCAGTACGAGTGACATTTTATGAATGCAAAGGTCCAAACTGGAAGGACATTATGATTACCATATTATCAGGGCTGAAACATACAGTACTATTTTGCAGGGGGGAATAATTCGTATGTGGCGCAGTTATCATGTGCATACATACTAGGGGTACTGTGCCGGTATCACCACCGGTAGTTGTGATGCAAGTACGGCACAATGATATCCCCGCGTGGCAGCAGGCAGACATTGCCGGACTCCGTAATTTTCTCGGTTGCGTGTGAAACACAGATACCGTATGCAGTAAGTTAGCAGTAGCGGTATGGAATTCCTTGCTCTTTGCGGGAATATCGACCAGGTCCATCATTTACCCGTATGACAAATTTGTGGTTCCTGGCGTGGCTCGAATTCCTTGTGCGGGTAGCCATGATGCCGGCTTCAGCCACTCGTGAGGGAATCTAGTAGTTCTATGCGGTAGAGTTTAATGATTTCCACCGCTGCGAATTTGCCGATTCAAGTTGGCAGGGGGGGAGGGAGGGAGCAGGAAAGAAAAGGAGTAAGTTCTTGCTTAGTCACCGGATCAAAGATGCATGAAGGGCTCGTTGCTGGTGTCTAGGACTATGCTGCACTGCAGACTGGGAACTTGTATATGTATATTATATATTCCGTAGAAGTGTCGTGACACGTGAACCGCCGTGTTTCTTGGGGCTTCACTGTTTTTGAAAAAGTGCGGAGATGCAACGGCAGTCTTGTGCTTGATTCGGGGATTTGCACACAATAAAGATATTTTGTGGCAAGGGGGGGGGATTATACTCAAGTACATTTCCTCCCGTCCGGCCTAAATTTTAGACAGCATCTAGTAGTGTGTCTACAGTTGCCTAGAGTCATAGGCAAAGCATATTTTTCACGTATTATCACTCGTGCATGCGGTGATTGCGGTCTACCGAGTATGGGATAGTGCCTACCGCAATCGCCATACGGCACTGCACAGTACTGTACAAGGACAGCACTAACCAAACCCTGGCCCAATCTCTTGTTTTCTACCCGGGCTGTGAACAGGTCTATCTACCCGGGGTAAAACTACTGAGCAATTTATATATCCCGCTTCCTATTTCTCACTTCTCCATTGCCCAGGTTTCTGCCCTCTCCTCATCAGATTCCTCCTAGCCTTCCACACACCCCTGCCCTTCCCATCGCCAGCGCCACCCCCACCAAAACTAACCCACGGCACCCCCTGTCCGGCGCCGTCCCCCTCAACCCCGGCAGCCATCTCAGCGGCACACAACTCCAACCTCCCACGCACGAGCACAGTCCTCTTTCCCCGCAGCCTCTCGGCGGCGTCGGAACTGAGCGTAGCAACAACCCATACCTCCCTCTTTTCTACATCAACGCCCTTAATCAGCGCCATCCCCACCGCACGGGAACGTTCTGGCATGGGCGGGTTGGGTAGGTACGGAAGTCCCTCTGGCGTTAGGATGATTTTTCCAGTCCCGCTTATGCTTTCTTCATCGTCAACTTCCACAATAGCAACAAGCGTGCCGTCGATGGCAGTTAGGAGTTCCGCGGGGGAGAGGTCTTCGTGCAGGATGGATACCCCATCGATTGCTGGGTGAGCGCCAGCATAGGGGAGGCGCCAGGGCTGCATTTCAGCGAGGGGTTTGACGACCCAGCGCAGGGTGTCCGGGCAGTAATGCATGAAGGAGGAGGTTTGTAGTGTGCGTAGGTCTGCTGCTGTGAATCTTACGTTCTCACTGGTGGAGCTGGACTCGAGCACATGCACTCTCGGGGGGTTTGTTGGGGGGAGGACGTCCGTTATTGGGATTGAGTGGCCCAGTGCTGGAGTTATGTAGATGATGTCGGTGGTGCACGAGGCCTGGATAATCTCCTGGAGGAGTTCTAGGCCTAGGGATTTTACCCATCCGGCCGAGTTGATGAGGAGTGGGCCGGGGTCGGTAAGTGCCGCGGAACGGTAGTCCGATAGGAGGGCGAGGATAGCGCGAATGTATGCCGATGGATCTTCGCGAGGGGAGATGTAGCCGATGTGGTGGGCTGTTATGAGGTCTTTTGGAAGGAGAGGGCTCGTGAAGGGGGGTCCGAGGATGGGCCTCTTAAGCACGTGGAGGGAGAGGAAGCTGGGGAGTGTGAAGGAGGGTTGGCCCGGGTCGACGTCTAGGTAGTAGATTCTGGGGTAGGTTTTCGCGGTGAGGAGTTGGTTTGTGAGGATCCGAGAGAGGGTGGACTTTCCAACCGACTTTCCCCCAGAAAGGAGGATGACCGGGGGTGCGGTATTTTCGGTATCAGCGGTCTTCTCAATCCCCCCGAGTATCCCTTCCCACGTCTTTGGAATGCTGAGTACTGGTAAAGGCGTGCTCGTAGTAAACAACTTCTTGGACATCAGCCGTGATCCCCCAATAAACCAATCTCAATAAAGGCTTGTACCGGCTGAAAAGACCTCCCACCGTCCCCCCCGGCCGGCGGCCAAATCCCATTAGCCACCGGACACGTCCTCCCCAAATCCCGTACCCCAGAGTCTGTCTGCGTGAGCAAAATCTCTGCACCAGAACCCTCCCCTTTCTCCTTGGCCTTCACACAGGCGATCTCTGGTAAGGCGTGCGTGCTCGGTGCAAACACCTGACAATGCCCGGATTCACTGGTTAATCTGGCGCCAGAGATGGTGATTGCGCCTTTTCGCACGTGGAGTTCGTATTCCCCGAGAATCACGAGTGTCTAACGATGGTTAGCGCGATCGATACACTAACGAGGAGTACCACAGAAGACAGAAACCTCCCCAAGTGCCATCCGGACAACACAACTCCCGTCTTGAGCGGGGATGTAGTTCTCCGAGGAGGGTGTGAAATTCGACATCCGGGCCTCTTTGTTAACCCCCATGTCCATGCCCATCCCAAGATCGCCCCGCCACCCCGCCGTCGATGCCACCCTGGCCGACGATGTAGGTACCGCTTCACCATCACCCCCGGATGAAATCTGCACATGGCTAATAACAACCCTTTTCCCGCCACCATCACTCTGCTTCCCCTTCAACCCCATCGGAATCTTCTCCCTACGCCTGCGCATCTCCTCTCCCGATAATTCGGGCGCCTCCTCTTCTTCCTTTTCCACTTTCTCCATCTCTTCTGACTCGGCGTGCTGCGCACCAGCAGCTAGTGAGCGAAGTCTGCGCGCCGCTAGAGCGCTCATAGGCGCTATTGCCAGCGTTCATCAGTATTGCGAAAACTCCCGGGGATGGAGGAGAAGGTGGGGGGGGGAAGGGGTACGTTTCGCTCCATCCTCTCTTCGCTTTTTCGGCATCGTCTTTTTTGCTATGGCGATGGTGATCTTGTTGGTTGTTCTTGTGTTTGGCAGCTTCTGGGGGTGGGGGGGATGGGGTGATACGGTAATCTATGGTGTGGTTGGGTGAGGTGCGTGGCACGTGACAGGTAACTTAACCCTACGGAGACCCGTAACTCAGGCGGCCTAACATAAATGGGTGGTAGGGGATTTCTGCATTCCTGATCCACTGTTTTCCTAGTCTCGAGTGATTAAATGTGACCTATATCTGGGGAAGAGTCTAGCTAGGAGCAATTGTGAACTCCCAAAAAAGTCATTGGGAAACACTCAAAGATCTACCCCATCCAGCCCCATTCTATACAAACATCATTAAACTGTTGAAACAACATTCGTTCGGAACGCCCCAGTCATCATCACTTCCGTAATTCAAGTAAAAGATCATAAACCCGTCAAGCCAATTCCAGCCCAGCCCCCTCAAAGTCAACAAGCCCGCCAAAGTACCGCGCTGAGAGAGGAAAAGGGGGAGGAAGTTGCAAAATACCCACATGAAGCCCAATATATAAGCTAAACGCTGCAGCAAGACCAGACCATCCGACTAGACCAACTGACAAGAAAAGATCCGCAAAGACCGAAACCGAAAATCTCCCAGCTGTTACAGGTGGTAATTCCCTGATTCTCTAACTTAAGCTTCGCTTCCAAATTCCTTTGTCCAATCATCGCTCTTCTTGACATCCTCCTTGCTGACGGTGGGTCGGCTCATCCTCACGGCTTTTACAAAGTCCTTTAATTCTAGGGGCGGCTCCATGAGTTTTTCGGGGTCTACGTCTACCCAAGTCATCTCCATTGCCCCGGGAGCACCGGGGGAACATGGTGTTAGTTTTTCCTCATGCTCGGGTGTTATGACCTGCGGAAATGTCAGTTGCGATGAAAGCTGGGGGAACCAGAGGAAGCACCTTTCTGTAGTGGGTCGCCGTTTGGATTTTCCGGACTGGTTGCATGAGGGCGTCTTGAACGGCGATGTTGATATCACTGCCGGTGTAGCCTTCTGACATTTGGCCGAGGTTTTTGTAGTCATGAGGAGTGAGGGTACAGGGTGTTGAGCCGACCGAAAGTTCAAACATCTTGACTCGCCCGGGAAGGTCAGGAACGGCGATGTGTATTCTTCGCTGGAATCTGTTCCGGAGTTAGCAAAACCAATCTGAACCTCCCCGGAGAGTAATATACCGTCGTCTAATAGCAGAATCCAATTGCCATGGGATATTTGTGGCCCCGAGCACCAACACGCCCGATGTGTCGTGACCTACGCCATCCATCTGAACCAGCATCTCAGTCTTTATCCTTCGACTAGCTTCACTCTCGCCCTCTCCTCTGGTTCCGCAGAGAGCATCGACCTCGTCAATGAAGATAATCGAGGGTTTGTTTTCTCTCGCCATTGCAAATAGTTGCTTCACAAGTCTGTGAGAACCACATCAATACCCCCTCTCCTACGGTGACATCTCCGGGGCCGAAGGAATACGAACCTCTCGCTCTCACCCATCCACTTGGAAACCAAGTCTGAACTGCTAACCGAGAAGAAAGTACTATTCGCTTCCGTCGCCACAGCCTTCGCAAGATAACTCTTACCGGTACCGGGGGGCCCGTAGAGCAGAATACCCCTCCACGGCTTCCTCTTTCCGGTGAACAGATGGGGGAACTTTATTGGCAGGATGACCGCCTCTTTTAGCGCTTCCTTAGCACCTTCCAGCCCAGCAACATCCTCCCAGCGAATGTTCGGTTTCTCCGTAAGAATTGCTCCAGCTAGTGCTCCTCTCAGCTTTTTGTTCTCTGGATCAACGGCGTCCTCCTCATCGCTGCGGCCCTCGTTAGTCCCCCCCTCCCATAGTTTCCCGAAAAGCAGAAACATACCTCCCCTTCTGTCCGCCCCCATTCTCCTTCCCGTTCACGCCAACCTTGCTGGGTTTCTTCTTCCCTTTGGCTTCCTCGAGGTGCGTCTTGAGCTTCTCGGCCCGTTCCATGTACTCGGCAGCTTTAGCACGGATGCTCTCCTTCATCTTCGCATTCTTCTCCCACTTCAAAGCTAGCATGAAGCATTCCAGGGCGGAGTAATATTGTGTGTACGCGGCCTCATAATTCCCCGCCGTGTCCTCCTCGATAGCCTTCTTGACGATTGTTATCGCTTTCTAATTAGACCATTTCCCACCCATTAGCTTAGAGCGTAAATCGCGGAGAATGAGTGGGGGGGGGGGGGGGGTTGAAACAACATACCCCGACGAAATCGGTATTAGACATGGCGATGGCGAGTACTCGAAAAGCGATACCAACTCAGCTCAAATGCGGGGAGTGCAAGCGAGGGAAAAGGAAAGGAAAACAAATGCTGGCGCCGAGGAATGACCTGCAGCAAGGCAAACAGTTATGGAATTAGTTATGAAGCCCAAGCAGAAGCGAGAGAGACCCACGGGGAGAAAGGGGAGATAGGGATATTGTGGGTGGAAGGAAATGTGTACAGTACTCGAGCTGCATGCAAAAGCAAGAAAATATGGTAGAGGGGCTTTGATTGTCTTCGTGACGGTAGAAAGTCTTGGCGATATCATCCCCACCACCAAAACAACCAACGGTTGCTATGATAAGTTACCGATACTGTGCTCCAGTCCAGTCAAAAAACCTTCGTCTCTTAACTACTGCACTATGCCAGCAAAAATGTTGCAGGATCTTACGGATCAGTTCCAGGCTCTATCCAAAGGTGTTTGTTCCGGATTGGGTCTTCTCATGGGGATTGCTCTAACGGGGAATAGACATGAGCTCTGTCGTCGAGGCGAGACAGAAATTGGATTCACAGCTCGAGGAGAATAAGTCCGTACAAAAGGTATTGCCCATCCCCTCGGGATAGTAATGGGGGTGATTGACTGACTGACTCGAGGAGTAGGAATTCGCGAGTCTGTCTGATGACGCAAAGATCTACAAGCTCATTGGGCCCGTGCTCGTCAAGCAGGACAAGTCGGAGGCGGTGATGAATGTGGATAAGAGATTGGAATTCATCAACTCAGAGATGTGTGTCCTTCCGCTACACCTGCTTTCTTGAGCCCAGAACTAGACTGATCGGCCCAAACAGCGCACGCATCGAAAAGCAAATCTCCGACATTCAAGAGAAGCAGGAGCGAAAAAAGATGGAAATCATCCAGGTTCAAACTCAACTGCAACAGGATGCCCAGGCGCAAGTAGGAGCATAGTCTAAATTCTAAAAAAGGAAAAAATGTCAAAGACCCCCCCTTTCCCAATTACACCACATGAGAAAGAAAAAAAAAATCGCAAAAGACTTTTGAATGCCCCCCCAAAGTAGTACGATATATGGTACAGTCCCCAATGTAACAGATTACTCCCATGTGTGGAACGGAAGAAGAAAAAAACAAGTTCAAGAAAGGATCTCCTTCCTGTTCTTCTTGCTCTTATGTTTCCTCTCCCTATGCTCCTCCTTCTCACCCTTCACCCCAACTGACCCTTCCCCCTCCCTACTCTCCCTCCGCTTCTTCTTCCTGACAGGTTCTAAAGCCTCTGGCTCCACAGCATCTGGCATTCCATCCTCATCCTGATCACCGACATACCCCATCGGCTTGAACCTCATCTTCAACCCATCGGGCTGGGCCCTGACACTCTTCGCAACAACCCTCTCCCTCCTCTTCTCGAGGGCTTCCCTATCCGGCAACGTCTCGAAGAACTGTATGGATTTCGTAATCCCCTTCCCTCCTTCAAACTCCCCCTCAGATCAGCGCCTCCATTCCTCCCCCCAGATGGGAGCAACCGCAGCGGTAGAGAGAGAGACTCACCAAACAAATACCCCCCCCTCCCATCCGGCACCAAAACCTGGACGCCCGCACCCTCATCCGTCTCGCGGACCGAGAACATCCGCCCACTACTAGTTCCAAGCACCCGCGCATTCTCCAGTACGTCGGCAGCATTGACACTCCCCAATTTCGACAACGGCGCCGACGCTGGTGCCGATATCAACCATAGCTCCTTGCCGGCGAGGTTCTTAGACGAGAACGGGTTTCGGCCGGACGGCGAGGGCGGCGGAAGACGAAGGAAGTTTGTCGGGGGGCAGTATTCTTCGTCGGATTCCACTGACGCGGACGTTTCTTCTTCCTCTTCTTCGTCAGAATCGGATGTGGAATCGGATGTGGAATCAGATGCGGAATCAGATGCGGAATCGAATGCAGATGCAGACTCGGAAGACCCCGCCGACGTGGAATCTTCATCGATGTCGGAAGCGGTGACTTTCTGTGTCGACCGTGGTTTCGCTTTTTGCTGCTTTTGTTTTTGTTTCGCGGGCGCAGGGGCGGGCTTTGTCAAGCGTTTTTTCGCGGTGTTTGCTGAGGAGGACATATTTGTTGGTTGGTTGGTTCGGAGTGCTCTTTTTTCGCGAACCTCTCTGGTTGGGCTTGTTGACTTGGGAGCGGCTTGGCGCGACGTTTTCCTCACTGTAAAATTAGCCGCAATCCAGGGTTTGGCTCAAAAGGTGCTTACCTAATCCTTTTGAGGGCCATGATTGGTTGGTATACAAGCATGATTGCCAAACTCCGTTTCTCCAGCTATCGTACAGCACGCTGAACGCTGCGCCAAACAGCGTTTCAGACTTGCCTGGAACTGTCCCGCTGTTTGTTTGGTTAGGTGGCTCTTGTCGTAGGCGTATTTTCGGGAACGGGTCGTCCCGTGAGGAAGAGAAGGGAAGGTGGTTGAGGTAAGTAAGGTTCGACACGATTGATGCCGGGTGATCCAGCTATGAAGACTAGAGGTTATGATAGTTTCTTGGGGAAGCTTGAATTGACCCGCGCGACTTCGCACATCTAAACCCGCGTTGAATCTCGAACCTCCACTTCCATCCCGCACGGCCCCCACCCAGTCACCGAATCTCACTCGACCAACAATCAATTAAGTCAAACATGCATATACACGCTGCAGACGATATGAATCCATGTATCAACATTCAAACACAAAATGCAGTATATAGTTTCTGGGATGCTTGCTCCCCATCGCCGCAGCCGCTACCATCGCCAGCACACAGCACACAGCACCCCGCGAACAGGCAAACAAACCCACATATTATTACAATAAGTACCAACACGAAAGGAAAGATGTCGACCCCACTTGGAAGCACCGGGTCGGGAAAGCCCACAAACCAAGTCTCGCCGGGGGTTTATTTCCCCACGGGCGCTGACGGCAATGTGCTGCCATTATTCTCTGGCAGTAGGCCTGGTAGGCGTTCCAGTGCGCTCTCGCCCTGCGAAATAAGGCTCGCGAGCGCGGACTCGCCAAAGGCAGGGGTAGGGACTGAGCGAGCGCATTTCATACCGGTAGGTGTAGAGCGCGAAGTGTCGCGTGTGTCCCTTCCTCCTCCCAGCGCTCCGAGCCAGCAGCATCGGCTCGTGCGTGCACGGAGCGCGCCGAATTCCTGTCTTAGACTTGCGCAACGGCCGGAACACCCGCACCAAGCACTGCTCTTCCCGTGCGATGATTCGGGCGCGGTGCTTCCGCTTTTTCACCCTGCTACTAGTGCTTCTGCTTCACCGCGGTGTCGGTCTGGTACTACTTCTACTACTTCTACGTCGTCGGGCGGCTCAGATGCTTCCCTACCTTGTATTGCTTCTGGGGAGGTTCTTGAGCTATTTGCGCAGCCGGTGAGGGCTGGTAGTAGTAGTATTACTGTTCCTGCCGTGGCTGTTGAGGTCTTTGATGATGGGGGGGAGGAGGAAAGAGAAAAGGAAAAGGAGGAAAAGGAGGAGGAGGAGGAGGAGGAGGAGGAGGATGATGATGATGATGATGATGATGATGATGATGATGATAGCCCTGGGAGTGTGATTGAGTGGATCGATGAGATGTTGAGTGGAAGTGGGGTTTCGGGGGAAGGGTTTGGGAGCAGAGAAAGTAGGAGCGGGAGTGGAAGGAGGGATTCCCGGGAGGTGCTCGAGTGGTTGGAGGGGTTGAGGCTAGATGCTTAATGGTGTGCCCCCTCCAGACGAACTTCGGGAGAGCTTTAAGGTTTTGAAAGATGTTAGAAGGTGGCGGTGGAATAGTTACTTTCCCATTTTAGAGTAATGCCTCTTACGATAATAATATTTAATTGCTATATTATGTCAGATGTATCGTGTAAGCCTCCGGAAAACTACCCGGTGGAATGACTGTCCTAAGGCTGCCATAAGGATCAAGTGTCGTGAAAGATGTATTTTTCGATATGATACCAATAGCATGAAATTTTATATTGCACCTCCAGCGCCCAAGGGATTTATTAGGGAAGGGGTGGGGGCGGTCGCTTGGCTAACAAGAATGTGTTAATATAATTCCCCAATATATCTATCCGCTTGTGATATCAATTGCCAATGTAGCCTTACCACAGCACCATCCCCGAGCGCCGTGATCATATGCACCGCCTGATTATCGGCATTACGTCGATAATTATCGTTATTGGGCTGCAGGAGCAAGAGAAGCTATAAATGGAGCAAGTTGTTTCAAACCACCTTGAGTTCTTGGGGAGCCCACGCTGGCGCACGGTGCCTGTACAGTGCCGTAGCGATCGCCAAGGAGAAACACTCAGGTCAAGACGTTGCTAGGGTAATCTCCCATGGAGGGAGGCCCCGCTGCGGAGTATAAGTTCTGCTCGGCTGCCGTGGCAGTGCGGTGGGTGATCTCACGGAGGCCTTTTCTGTGTTTTACACCAAGGCAGAGAGATATTTGCTGCAATTTTTTTGCCCCCTTTCTTCCTTCCGCCTTTTCTTCCCGGTTTCTGGCTATGATTCGTGTGAGCGGGTGGCTAGGGGTACTATACGGCGGAGGGAGTGCGCTGGAACTGATTAGATCTTCTGGATTGTTGCATTTGTCTTTTCAATGTAGGGTGCAATGCATGTTATAAGACCCGCCAGCCCTCAGTTGGGCCCGCCGCCATCGGGATTTGGTCCCGTTGGTGATTTGCTTATTTATGATGATATTTTCTCATTCTGGTCTCTGCATATTATGATATAAATATTCCCGTCTTCCGTGCTTGGGTTGCTCCCGCATTTCCAAGGTTGCTTAGATTTTCGTATCATAACCGGTGGTGATCCCCTCCCAACGAGTAGGGGGGAAAACTGAATGATTAGTTGTGGGCCTAGGGCAGCGACCTGATCGCATGATCCAGACCCCACCTGGAAATTAAATTTTTTTGGAGGGAAATATGGAACTGTACGTGATAAGAACTATTTTAATTTTTCTCTAGAAATCTATTCTGGACATGCTTCGTTTCCGGTCCAAATTTTTTTTTCTTGACACCGAAATTAAAGGCGCACTTCCATTTTCGGATTGTATGTTTTCTGGTGCGGCACGATGAGCTAGAGTTGTTGCAGATTAGGGGCGATATAGGATGATCCTGGAGAAGTGAGAGCTAGAGTGAGTGTCGGGTGGGTTGATTTAATAGAGAAATGGAGACCATTTTATTTATACTCCTTCCTCGAGTGAGACCTTATGCTTGGCCGCGCCCCTAGAACTGGCCCAGCCTGCAACGAAATTCGAGAGTTGTGATGGCCAGAAAGCAATTAAAAATCAGCCAAGAGTACAGTATGATACATCAAAATGTAGTGGAATACATAGTAGCAATTTCAAGTAGTTTAGGAAGAACGAGTTTTTGATATTCATTCTCCTCGCCCTTCTATTTCGCAGACACCGGATCTCACTCGCTGCTGCTAAATTCAGGAAAGTTTCATTATAGCCGCCAGAACAAACTATTCGCTTATCACTAACCGGGGATGTGTTACGACCCGCAGTTAAGTGGCGGACCCCGCAGGCTCCCAAATATACCAATGGAGGCATAGCAGATGGCTGGAGGAGACGAACGACCAATGGGGACAAAGATAGCGCGGCTGATATTTTCTCTCAATAACTGTCGCTTCCCTGCGCTCCCTAGTTAATTAAGCTCTACCGTAGCTACCACCGAATGCAGAGGTCATAACCTTGCCGCTTATTTGCTGAACTCTATTGGCTGTATTGGTGCTCCGGCCCGCAGAATGATAAACATCTCGATTGAGTATACGGGCTGGGAGGGGGGTTCCTGTGAGATGCCCGAAATTTTTTGCTTGAGAAGGGACGGTCGGAGGGGAGAAGGGGGGAGTGTGGGGGGATGCAACCACGGGGCTTGTATCAAAGGGGTCGAGCCGGAGCTTTGGGAAACGAGAATGAGATGGCGTTTCGGATGAAGAACTTGGGACCGAGGAGGGATGTGGAAGTAGTGAAGTAACGTATGGGAGATAGCCTCCGAGGTTTTTGAGGGCCCCATCTTATCCAAGGATACCACCAGAAGCTCGCCGATGAGGTAGAATACCAAACATTGGTAAGGCTACTCCCAAACTCTTGACACCATATATATTGACCCGACCTTAGCGACCTGTAACATATGAGTCTATTGAGCCAGTACTGGTGACGCTCGATGAGCAGTTTATACCATAACTACGGAGTCAAACGGGACAATGTCTCTTTGGTAAACTTACCTGCTGTGATCACGGATGGGGGGATCACCTTATTTCTGGTTTGGTGCATCGCCCAAGGAGCTCTTATATGGGGGGAGGAATACAGATTTTTCTTGACACGTAATCTTTTCCCTGAGAGCGGTAAAGCAATGGCCAAGCGAATAGACATTTTAAACTTCGTCAAGGATAGATAGGATAGTGTCACGGAGCATGACAGCGATAGTGTCATGCTCCGTGACACTATCGCTCCCATGGGGCCGCGCAATTTCCGGTGCTCTTGAGGGGATCCCCTCCGGCCTGATCCTGTAGGAGCTTGGTACAAATGAAACAGATGTCAACAGACATAGGATGGAAAATGCTTAGGGTTTGGGGACAAACGGATAATGGCGGAATTTAATGAAATTTTGGAACAAGTGGGCGTTTCGGTTTTCTTTCTGGTTTCATGTAGTTGAATTGTGCGAGTGAGAGACTGTGATTTTCGGAAACTTTCTGATGCTGTTTATGGGTTGACCTTCTGAGCAATAAGCAAGCAAACAAACAAACAGGACAGTCGCACAGCAGGGCAGGAGCTCACACTGTCTGCCCTAACATTCACATGTCTGCTTCTTCACACATCTCTCCATCTGCACAACGCCCACTTTCTTGCATCCTGCTATTGGTATTATGCCATCAGCGGTTGGCCCCATAGCCGGCCCCTGGGACCACTGGTTCTCTAAACTCCGGGTCACTGCGCCCCTCTTCTAAGGACGGACCCCCCTAGGCGCCCGCATCACACAAGTCTTGCCTGCGAGCACTGAAGAGAACTCCTTCCAAGCTACAAACACTTCTGCTCCTTCCTTCGCCACCTGTTGTTTAGCTTTCAGGATTGTGTTCAGTAGTTAGTGGCGTTACTCTGAAGAGAAGGATCGCTCTTAAGCTTATTCATCACTAACTAAAAGGGCATCTCCGACCCAACGTACGGCTCTTGCAATATCAAGTCCAACAGGCGCCGTACCATAAGACAATCCAAGCCCACTTGTACCAAATTGCATCCCGAAAGTACCACTCGTGGACCCCGTAGTGCCGAATAGTCGAGAGTGGGCCAGAACAGGGTAAGTCCAAACCAAATAACAATAAAGCACTTGTGCGGACTCCACACCCACCTCCCCAGCTGCCCCCGCCCTTTAAGTACATCCTAGTTATAGGCTAGAGACTCCCGAATATGGCTGCAGTTACGTTTAGGACATGGGTATTGGGTGCTGCTTCGTGTTACGGGGTACGCTTTTTGTCTATAGTAGCTTTTAGAGTGGATAAAGGAATTTAATTTACAAGCGTGGGAGTCGGCTAGTTCATTTCCTACCCCTGCGGTGAATTGTGCCG